TATTAAATAAATCCCAGCACAGGGCACGGCACAAAACGCCTGACCGGCATGCCTGTAACCTGTCAACGTCGCCAAAAACAAGAACGTGAGAAAGTGGGGCAGCGGGGAAGTACTAAGGAGAGATGGCGGCCGTGCTGCGTGGGTCCCGGGTGGGCTCCCGGAACACGCAAAGGGCGCCAGGGAGGAAAGCCGGATGTGATAATAAACAGGCACGTACCTGGTTTACACACTCACTATACTGGGCTCTTTATTGTCGTTTTATAGTGTATTCTTCCCACTCATTAAAAAAGCCCTGCTGAAAAACGGTGTGCCCGCATGCAGCTCAGACTCACATGTCTCTAGATTGTGTCTTGTCTCTCGTGTTTGATTTATTCTCATGTTGTTTGGTGCCGTGACATCCGGGCAGGCGTGTGGCCTAAGAGCAACAGCCTCAGCCTGTGGTGGGCTGTACCGTCTGCGTCTGTGTCAGTGTCAGTGTCAGTGTCCGTGTCTGTGTCAGTGTCTGTCAGGGTCTGTGTCAGTGTCAGTGTCAGGGTCAGGGTCTGTGTCAGTGTCAGTGTCAGTGTCAGTGTCTGTGTCAGTGTCAGTGTCAGGGTCAGGGTCTGTGTCAGTGTCAGTGTCAGGGTCAGGGTCTGTGTCAGTGTCAGTGTCAGGGTCAGGGTCTGTGTCAGTGTCAGTGTCAGGGTCAGGGTCTGTGTCAGTGTCAGTGTCAGGGTCAGGGTCTGTGTCAGTGTCAGTGTCAGGGTCAGGGTCTGTGTCAGTGTCAGTGTCAGGGTCAGGGTCTGTGTCAGTGTCAGTGTCAGGGTCAGGGTCTGTGTCAGTGTCAGTGTCAGGGTCAGGGTCTGTGTCAGTGTCAGTGTCAGGGTCAGGGTCTGTGTCAGTGTCAGTGTCAGGGTCAGGGTCTGTGTCAGTGTCAGTGTCAGGGTCAGGGTCTGTGTCAGTGTCAGTGTCAGGGTCAGGGTCTGTGTCAGTGTCAGTGTCAGGGTCAGGGTCTGTGTCAGTGTCAGTGTCAGGGTCAGGGTCTGTGTCAGTGTCAGTGTCAGGGTCAGGGTCTGTGTCAGTGTCAGTGTCAGGGTCAGGGTCTGTGTCAGTGTCAGTGTCAGGGTCAGGGTCTGTGTCAGTGTCAGTGTCAGGGTCAGGGTCTGTGTCAGTGTCAGTGTCAGGGTCAGGGTCTGTGTCAGTGTCAGTGTCAGGGTCAGGGTCTGTGTCAGTGTCAGTGTCAGGGTCAGGGTCTGTGTCAGTGTCAGTGTCAGGGTCAGGGTCTGTGTCAGTGTCAGTGTCAGGGTCAGGGTCTGTGTCAGTGTCAGTGTCAGGGTCAGGGTCTGTGTCAGTGTCAGTGTCAGGGTCAGGGTCTGTGTCAGTGTCAGTGTCAGGGTCAGGGTCTGTGTCAGTGTCAGTGTCAGGGTCAGGGTCTGTGTCAGTGTCAGTGTCAGGGTCAGGGTCTGTGTCAGTGTCAGTGTCAGGGTCAGGGTCTGTGTCAGTGTCAGTGTCAGGGTCAGGGTCTGTGTCAGTGTCAGTGTCAGGGTCAGGGTCTGTGTCAGTGTCAGTGTCAGGGTCAGGGTCTGTGTCAGTGTCAGTGTCAGGGTCAGGGTCTGTGTCAGTGTCAGTGTCAGGGTCAGGGTCTGTGTCAGTGTCAGTGTCAGGGTCAGGGTCTGTGTCAGTGTCAGTGTCAGGGTCAGGGTCTGTGTCAGTGTCAGTGTCAGGGTCAGGGTCTGTGTCAGTGTCAGTGTCAGGGTCAGTGTCAGTGTCTGTGTCAGTGTCTGTCAGTGCGTGCTGATGCTCACACACAGCATGATCGCCCAACGGCGCGCTTCTCAGAAGGCATCCCTGTCTTAAGGGGACATGGCCGTACTTGCTTGTTTATACCTTGGCTGTGGTGGGAAGGAAAATATTTCCCCTGAGAATTCACAGGTTCGTCCTCGTGCAGGTCAGAACCCTCGTTGTCTGTGCGGCGGCCCCAAAATTCTCAGCCAAATAGTCCATTTATTCAAGCGATCCTGGCTCAACCATGCGTCTAAGGTGTCTGATATAAACAAACACAGTGTTGGAATTCCCACAGATAAGGTTCCAATGAATATAAGCTTTGAATCAAAAAGCCCAAAATGCATGAGGAAACAAGTTGCTAAAAGTAAGACTAAGCAGAAAAAAAACTAACAGTGGTAGATCCAGCAAAGACTGCAGATGTTGGAATTATTAGATACCAAATATAAAACATTAAGTTTACTAAAACTGAAGAAATAAAAGAAAATATTAGATAACGAAAAAGAAGCTAGCAAAAATGACCAAGGATATGGGAAATAAAGCCAAACACATTATCTAAACATGACAAATATAATCATCAATATTATAAAGCCGATTAAGGTTAAGTAGCAGATATAGCTAAAGAGAGTAACAACAAATTGGAAGGTAGATTTGAAGAAATCACACATAATCCAGCTCAGAGACAGAAACAGAAAATACAAAAGAGCTAGACCCAAGGACAGAGAAAGGTCTGTTACTCATGTAATCGAAGTTATAGAAGGGGAAAAAACAATGGATAGGAAGCAGTGGAAATCATGCCTAACCATGTTCCAGAACGGATGAAATACAGTAGTTCTCAGATATAGATGGAACTACTTCCAAGGCCTGGCTGTAAATAAACGCTAATGCACCAACAAAGAGAAAGACTTTCAAGACGGGGAGAAAAGACGGCACCTACGGGAATGGACTGTTAGACTGCAAACTAACTTGTCATTCAGTTACAATAACATCGGAAGACCAGGGAATGAAAAAACACTTCCAAAATTCTGAGGAAACAATTGTCAGCTTAAGAGTTATATATATTTACATGAAGTTATCTTTCAAGAAGGAGGGTGAAAAAAAGACATTTTCAAGCCAAAGGGTTTTTAACCAGCAAATCATCCCTAAATGAACTTTGGGAAGAAATACACCGTAGAAAGAAAACTGACCCTACCATAATATCTGAGGGGTAAGAAGGAAAGGCGGTTAAGTCTGAATAAATGTTGACTGTCTAGATGAACAACAATGATAATGTCCAATTAGGGGTGCTCAAGAGAGATTAAAATGCTAAACAGGAACGTGAAAACTGGGCGGCAGTCGTGTGAGTTAACATGTGTAAAGCGTTCCTCGTACTTTCTCAGGAGGGCAGAGATATCCGCTTTAGACTTTGCTGTGTTCAGTGTGGATTTCACAGCCTCTAGATAACCACTGAGAAAGAAAACTAGAGGTCGGCCCAGGCCTACCCTGGGCCTGCATCCCAGCTCAACTTCTGCCCAATCTGCGTCCTCCACTCCCTTCCACGGGCCCGCAGGCACGCTAATCACTGCCGCCCCCGCCACGCCTGCTTCCCAAGGGAGTCACTGCAACCACTGCCCGAAGGAGAGGCCCGGGTAACAAACCGAACACGTGGCACAAAGGTCGGAGAGAAGGCAGATGCTGGCGCCATGCGCATAGAGCAGCGGTTCTCAACCTGTGGGTCCTGACCCCTTTGGGGGTCGAATGACCCTTTCACAGGGGTCGCCTAAGACCATCGGAAAACACACATATAATCACATATTGTTTTTGTGATGAATCACTATGCTTTCATTATGTTCAATTTGTAACAGTGAAATTGGGGGTCACCACAACATGAGGAACTGTATTAAAGGGGTCGCGGCATTAGGAAGGTTGAGAACCACTGGTCTAGATCCTGTTTGTTGCTATTACTAATAGATATACAGCCCTCTGCATTTTCACATTCCCACTGAAGTATTGTTTGTTGAATGAGTTATTGCTGCATATGAGAGTATATTATATGTTATGGAGAAGACAAAGAAATATAAAAGATGGCCTCTGCTTTAAGATGCCTATGATCTAATTGGGAAAATAAGACATAATTATGTA